GTAGACTGCAATATTAGCAGTTTGAATGTACTATGTTTCAAACCAGTTCTATAAAAATAATTTCTTGAAATGCCATGCCACCAATTTTTCATCCCACTCTGTAGGTCCTAATTCCATTTGTGGATATTTTATCTTTATATCCTGAGAATTCACTGTTGGCTGAATCATAAGTAATTTATTACCTACTGAAATGTTTTCTATATTTTCATACTGGTTACATGCTATGCTACTCTGCTGATTATACTGATGAGAGCTTGAAATTTTCCAATTATACCGGTGGGGTATCTCATGCCCAAAGTACTAAGAATATTTCTCCCATAAATATTTCATGGTTTAAGTCTTTATTCACCGTAAGTCATTCATGCACCCATTTGATGTACAAAATCAGTCATACTATTACTGGTTTGATAGGCAGAAGCAGACTGCAAGTTAAATAGATGTACCTTTGAAACATTTGTTCTTTCATTTAAAATTCAGTATTCCATATATAATATAACTAAAACTTAAAATCATAAATAATATTCAACATTAAACTGGTACACAATTAAAAACATTTTATTTAGGTCTACCTATGGCCTTCAAAAAGTTGAAGACTCTACATGTTTCGACATTACAACGTCATCCTCAGGAATATTGTTTATGATTTTAACTTTATACACAAGTGCCAAAATACTATAACAACTAAAACTTGTTTGAACATCAAAACTGGTTTGTAATTTACTGCACATAATATATCTGGATATTAGCTATCTTTTACCTGTCAAAGTTGAATTCAGGGATGCAATATGTTGATGGCAAGAGAATAAAATGCAATTAAATAAACAAAAGTTTTCATCAATATATATTAATAAGATAGTTCAGAAGAACAAACTTGTATACTGTTGATGTAAACAAACACAAGATAAGTAAATTAATAGTTCAAACAGGGTAGAAGAATTCAAAATATTTTTAAATACAAACTGGGGACAGAAGAAATTAGTTTCTAAAAGAATAGAAAATTGATTTGTTAAGTTGTTGCAATGCTTGGATGTGCACATCTAATGAGAATGAGCCAAGTTAGCAATATAAAGACCTTGATAGTACAACATGTAAATTTAGAGGTTAGCCAAAAGTCAAAAATTAATTTGTCAATATTAAGAAAATGTGCACTTTCATCATGACTTTCCTACATCGAATGTGGCCATAAATGAGTAAGCACCACCTGTACAACATCTTTACGAATGTAGATACTTTGGATAGACTAGGATGTGCAAACTGTATATCATTTCCAAGAATGCTTAACATTGTGTTGTTTAGCCTAACACATTTTATGAAGAAAAATTTTAATTAGTGGTCACAAAGATATGAGAACCAATTTACTAGGTACAAAATAATGGTCACATGTAGAACTGTAGGCAGGGCAGTTAAACTCCAAAGCCATTTCTCAGATTATAGATTAAATTAAGTATACACCATGCTTCTAGTTACACCTACTTAATTATTAATTTAAATAATTTATGAATGTATTAAATTTTCAGTAGCTCCCAAATAATAAACTACTTAAAACAGTTAAGTACAAATTTTAGTTAAATACAAATTACTGGGTGGATAGATTAGTAACCAAGTATAATGACTAGTAATTAGTGATAAAAGTTAAATTTGATTAGAGGTAGTTCAAGGATAAGTAACTGTATTTTATAGTGTAACAGATGCTAGAATTGAGTTACATCTAAGAATTCTAGACTTGATTGAAACTTTCAGGAGACTTGGAAGAATACACTAAACTTTCAGAGTTTGCTTATATGAGGATAAGTCAGATATAGCTTTGAAGAAGATTGTGCTATTTGAGGGAAAAATACAGTAGGAACAAAATTCAAAGATGCAACACATGAAACTGATAAGAGTTAGGTAAATTGTGATTTGTGGAAAAGTGAGAATGAAAACGTTGGGCTCGAAAGTGTGAAGAGTAACTTAAGATAAAGTTATTTTCTCTTAAGAAAATAATGTTTATAAGTAATCTTGGTGAATCTTACAAGATTATTCAGGGAATCAAGAAGTAAAAGATCTCAGATTTCTTTGCGATGTATTCTGAAGACAACAGAACATAAGTTCAAAAATCGGAAAAAGACAAGCTAGGCTCAAGTTAAGATACTTGTTTTTCAAACAGGCAGAATGAGTCACCATTAGCAACAGTGGAGGTTGTACACTTAAAAGAGGAGTTTAAGAAGGTAATTGATGGTTTCCTGAAAAGTAAGGGTAGGTTTAAATTTTTACTTTTCAAGGGTGAGAGTACAACAAGTATAGCCTTGAATGACCAAACGGTCCCTTGTTGTCTGTATGTAACTTTAACGATGTAGTGTAATTTCACTACCTTCCAGGTAGCAAATTAAGTTCTGTTGCAGCATAATCACAATTCTATACTAGACTTGCCTAACTTGTGACATCCAAATGGAAATAGTCAAGTCTTACTTGGAAGTTACTAGAAATATCTAAATCTATCATATTAACTTTTTGAAATCTCCAAAACTTGAAGATTTTTTTTAAATTGGAGCCTGTTTATAGACTTATTTAGGTTACCAAAAATGCTTTTTTACATTTTCTACAAAATCTATAAAAAGAAAATTCAAAATTAAATAAAGATCAACAAAACATAAATCATAACCATGCAACTGCACTTAAAAGTATTAGCCAAATTTGCAATATACAACTAAAATATTTATACTTACACCATAAAACAGTATTATATGCACATTTTAACCATCACAAAAAAAATCATTATTTGACATGCTACTGCATAAACAATTAATGTTTTTTCTCCAAATATTCTTTTTTTTTTGTTGTTGTTGTTAGATACAGCTACTATGCTTGGCTTTTATTTGGGATTTGGGAATTATTATAACTGAGCATTTTTGATTTCAAGCAAAATGTTAAGTTTAATAACACCTTTATTTTTGTCTCTTCATTTGAGTAAAACCCTGCATAATGACACAGGTGTACAGCATTCTGTGCTACCCTGATAAGAGGGTTGTACAAAATTGTTTAATCTAGCTGAACTAAAATAAGAATATCACAAACACATAGCAAGTTACCGTGTAACAAGTATTTTAGTGAGAATTGTGTGTGGATATTCTGCTGACTCGTGTCTTTGGAAATTAGTCAAAATGATGTAATATGATGGTGTAAGTGTAAACCACCATGCTCTGTCTTGAAAAAGTTTTTACAAGATTGTTTAGTATCACAGAAGCAAGATAAAAAATGAAATAGATACATGATAGGTAAAAAGTATATATATTATTTATTTATCTATTGCCTTGTATATAACCTTCGTGAAGCACCTGTTACATTAGTGCCTAGTTTTGATCTCCTTATTCTTATAACAGGCAAGCTCTTTTAATACTTGAAAGAGTGCAAAGGAAGTTATTATAATGATGGTTATTTTAGAAAATGTGAGCATAGAATAATAAGGAGGCTACTTGTTTCAGATGCTTAAAAATTGTCAGGTTGGTTCAACAATAAGATTAAAAATAGAAAATTTAATACTAAAGATAATAATTGTAAGTCATTAAAATTCATAACCACAGTTGTTTTTACCTGGAATTAATTCCCAAAGTTAAAAATGTACTTGTATTTACTTATGAAATGGTTTGCCTAATAATGTGATGGATGATATCTGAATTCATTTTAAACCTTTATTGGATAAACACATGAATATCTACCATTTATCTGAATTTGATGCTTTGAAGGATTGTCTTAAAAGATGGATGGGTGACGTAAAACAAGGCCAAATAGCCTTCTGTTCCTTAACTCATTGTGTCTTTAATTAAGGAGCTAGACAATTTAATTTACTGGTCTTGAAATATGGCCAAGGAAATACAATTGTCTTAAACTGGGTCATTTGTAAAATTTTGCATCTTTTTGCCCAACCGTTCAATGAAGCAATAAAATCTATTTAAATTTACATATGTTAGAAGGGAAGGTAGGTTTTTGAACACCGAAGTATTTTAACTTTACTTATAAAAGCTTTTCTTTTAATTGGTGGAAACAGTAGAATAAGGGCTAACAATTAAAACATTTTAATAGGGAAAGAGTCATCTTCAGCTTAATTGTTTCTTATTTTTTCTACATTAATACTACATTAGATTTATACAAATTAAACTATGATCACCCAAGTCCAAGTTCTAAGATACCACTGAATCTTTCGTGTACTGACCAGTCACTGGAAAGTACTAATTCAAACCCCTTTTTCTTCTCCGTGCTGTTAATTGTAGTCTTTCTACATTTTGTTGCTCAAATTCATAAATGAAAGTTGTTGTAATGAAAGTACAAAAGGTTATATATAGAAAACTAATTAGACTTTAAGAGACCTTAAATTAGTTCTACAATTTTTCATGACTATATATATATTTTGCATGGCAGTTACACTTCCATAAGTTACAGCTTCAACTATGAAATCTAACCTTTACTTTAGTAACTTAGTAATTAGATTTATAGAGGTTAATATCATACAAATTAAAATACAGAATATTACAATCTGGGCAATGGAAAAAATAATTTAGAATGTGAATGCAATATAATTTTTGCACTATTGTTTATTAATTTATATAAACAAAAATACTATTAGTATTACTACTCAGTTATTTGTTGTTAAACTTAAAGACTTAAACTATCTTCAGATTTCTTTATTAATTTCTCAAATCTTAATTTTTTTTGGTAGTTATCTTTCATCTCCTTTAACTTTATTTTCCAATCACAACGAAAGATGACGATAACATAACGAAAGTTAAATTTACTAAAACAATTAAAACGCACAATCTCCAAAACTTGAAATTGTTAGGCCTACCCAAGTTTAACATAATAAATACTAAAATAACACGAATATGCGTTTTCTTAATCCATCCACATTTGTTGTTATTTACGGACATGTTTAAATTATTACCACCTAAGCAGTCTGAAACTTACAAATGCATGCATTTGGTATAGAGAATAACAGCATTTTAAGTCATATAAAAGTAAGTCTTTACCTGAAGAATGACTTTATACCTATTTTCTTTGTTTCACTTTCTATACCTTACAAGTGTACCCTACTCACTTTCGCAGCAGAACAAAGCAACTTGCATTGGCACCAGACAAACAGCTGTTTATAGAGCAAACCAAAACACTGCGCTCTTATCAACAACTGCGCAAGTCGTCAAGCGCGGGTCTTAGCTCCGCATATTAACCAATCAAAGCATACATTGCAATCATATATGGTCCATAGGTTTTCAAGGTCATTGAACTCAGAACCCGTTTATTAAACATTTTCAGGTCCAACAGGCCTGAATGGTGTAAAAACAATGTAAAGGCCTAGTCATAGGAGCAACTAAAGTTTTGTTGATGGCGACATGTAAAAGTACAGGTAAAATGCCTGTTAGATTTCAAAAATTAGTTCTGTTCAGTAGGGGATTTAAACTTAGGATTATGTTGTTTACATAGAGACATATGTGAAGTACATCTACAACAAACGATGTCGTACAATATATTTACTAGCACGAAAAGTTGTATTTTCGCGGTATATAACTTAATTAATATAATAATACTTTATATCTAAACATGTGTACGAGCACTTTTTTTTTTTTTTGCTGCTTGTACATACAAAAGTTCTTGAAAAATTGAATAAACCATTAATATATAATAGCAAGTCCCCCGGTTGGTCAGCGGTAAGTTTACGAACTTACAAGGCTAAAATCCGGATTTCGATTCCATGCAGTGGAATAGCCCATTGGGAGTGTAGAAAACATTCTAACCATAACACATGCTTCATTACATTGATGGTTCTAGTGTTCTTTGTGGGAGATTGGGTGCTTACTGCAAAATATTGTATTGTGTCATGGTATACACATAAGTGCGATATTCAATAATACTTATGCCTGTCAGAAAGTTATAAATATTTGCAATACAACAAGCTCCGGAATGTTATACAGAGAAGAATACGATAGCAAAGAAAAAACAAGCAAATACAAATAAAACAACATCTTTATTCATGTAACGAATAACGTTGTATCCTATTGGCAGCAAGTGTTCATTAGAGAAGGCTAGAATCAAAATAATAATAATCCAGTCTTTTCAATTCAGTGATCATTACCATTACCTACGTGGTCTATTCAGGTAAAACTAAGTTAACCTTAGAATAATAGAAGAGACTCCTTTAATAACAAGAGATTCAACAATATATTTATTATGAAGTAACTACGAACTTTCTGACTTTGACTAAAATTGAAAGAGAATGAGACTGGAAATAAATGTACAAAAATACAACGAAACAATTTTTTAGTTCGAACTCACAAACGCAATTGAAATAATGTGTGTACAGAGCGAAGAACGATGTTTTTTACAATCCAGTTATCTCTTTAAATTATCTTAACAAGTTAGAAATATGTTTAAAAAGAATTAGTTAAAGTCACAGGTTAAACTTATTGAGACTACTTCCATTTACAAAGAACGGGCTTAACTTCACTTACCAAACTGAGCTTTTAAATTGACACTCTATGTAAGTAGTATTATTTTGTATTTAGAGAAATTAATCTATATAAATATTATACTACTGTCTGTTGTCTGTCCATGTAACTACTCCGCAGGGTGTGGATGGATCTTTACCAAAATTTGTATGGAGGTTCAATAGACTCATTCGGGAATATATACAAATTTTCAGTTTTGCATTTTGCTGTTTTTTATGTGAGTTTTATTACCACAGCTTCGCCCCATGTAATTGGATTTTCACCAAATTTGGTATGGAGGTTCATTGGGTCCATGAGGAGATACATACAAATTTTCAGGTTTGCATTTTGTGTGGGCGTTTTTTATAATTAAAATATTAGGGGAGCAACTTTTCATGTCATTTGCGGTCATAAAATATCTCTCAGATTTACTATTTTGTATAAGAAAGCGTGAGTAATGTCTTATCACGAAAGTCTCCCAAACGCAAGGACTGTAAGGAGAACCCGATCACCGATGTGCACGTTTATATTATTAACCAGCTACAAAAAGCTTTATAGGATTGAAGAGAGTAAATTTGAGTAGCACTGTCATATTTTGTTCAACAAGTTATGTTATAACCTTTCCATTAGCGTATTAATTTGGATTAATATGAAGGCTACTATTCGTTGGTGAAAGAGTAGCCCAAGAGTTTGCGGTGGGTGGTGATGACTAGCTGCCTTCCTTCTAGTCTTTCAATGTTAAATTAGGGACGGCTAGCGCAGATAGCCCTCGTGTAGCTTTGCGCTAAATTCAAAACAAACAAACCTTCGAAAACTCATAAGATCGTTCTCAGATCCAGAATGATCAACGATCCGAATAATGTTTTGTAGTGTGATGAGAAGTCTCAATCTTAATGTGCCCATGAAATATGATACAAATTCGATCACACTTTACAAGATTTATTAACCTAAAACAGTGAAAATGCCCTATCTCCCCATTATAAAAAATGCTTCAAACTGATCCCAAATCCAGAATTGGAACCGGACCAAATTTGGGGAGAACTGTCCCATACTGACTATCCATCTTATGTAAAATTTTCGTGTACACCAATCTGTTAGTTTTCGAGATACGCGCGTGGAAACACAGACACACAACGAACCCGAATGCAGTACCCACTCCATCCTCCACCCCTTCGTTCTGAAACACGTAATTATTTCCTTTCACGCAATGTGTAAGATGTAGAGCATAGAAAATAAATGAAGAAGTGGCAACGACTATTAAGGCTAATTGTCGTTGATTATATACTGGGCAAACTTATGCCTCAAATCCTCAAAATCATGACAGTAATTTGATCAAATGCAATTGGGAGTGTTAAGAATTTTTTTCTCTTCACCCCACACTTGATAAAACATGGTTTAGCAACAACTTCATGAAAAAACAACAACAAATAAAACGGCAACTTGATATAAGTTTATAACTCGTCGCGATGTGTGGGTCAAGCAAGCCAAAGGAACCGAAAGCAACACGTGATTGTAGAGTAGCACAAAATCAACGGCGCGTATTTAAACTCTAGGTGTGATTGTCGATTTTTAGGCGCCTGTTTGGAATTTGTATTGAGATGATATGGTATCGTTATTTACGAGCAACTGAAGGGTAAAGAATTAACTTAATGTGTTCCTTGCGTGTTTGTTTATGTTAGAAAAATAATTATCTTTTGAGTTAATGTTCTAAACGTCGTAAAGTTGCAGTCTTATAGAACAATGCACGATAAACGTCGTTCACTTTTACACTCTTACCAACGTAAATGTACCACTGTACAATTAACCCATGAGAATATTGAGTATCCATGTGAGTTAGCACGCATACATGTACGGACTGAGTGACGCATATTATTCTTTTAATTACATAAATTTTGTGATTTTTAATCAAAGGCGTACAAAAATTGCATTGCAGACCTAGATTCAAATTCGATGACGAGAACCCACTTTGAAACTAATAATGCTTGGAGACAGCTACCTGATGATGAAAAAACCTTGTCGAAACGTTGTACATTTGCTGTTATGTTAAACTTATATTAAAGTTTTTCTTCATTACCCATTCAAGCCGTCTCCAAGCATTATTAGTCCTAGATTCTTTCCCCACAAGTCACTCGCTGCCAAGGAGGACTTTTCAATATGTCAGAATTCATTAGGTGAGATACAAAAGTTTATCCAAACCGCCATACATATATAGAATTTCAGAATTTAAAAGTTACTATTTAAATGTCAAAAGCTGAAAAAGTATTAGAAACCAGTAGGGTTAACATGAATGATACAAATATTCAGTAAAAACCATGGGTATTCTTAAAAAAGTAAATTTGCCTAGAATTTTATTTGGCTAGAAAATAACACTTAAATATCTTGTAAGTAATTTCGTGAGTCCAATACCGGGAGCCACAAAACCTCTTTTATCCACCAATAGGGGTCTAACATGAAAATTAGGAAAATCTTTGTATAGATCTTACTTTTGATGATTCATTGGATGTCCCTGCCAATTTTCATGAAAATCTGAGTTCACTAAACCCCTTGATACAATATTTGGGAGCAACAATACGAACAGTTCGGAAATCTGAACATAAATATGTTTTTGAATGATTCCCTACATGTCCATGCGAATTTTCATGAAAATCCTTAGAACACATTCTGAGAGTTCTCAGAACTATTTGACCTCCTTATGGTGGTCAGATTGTGTTCTAGGGTTTGAATTTAGATTATTGTTTTGAATGACTCTTTACGTGTTAATGCTAATCTTTGAATTAAGTTCTTTCAATTAATCCTGAGAGACCTGACCCTAAATCCCCCTACTTTCCCATTTTTGAAACTCCCTTAAAAATACTTTCTGAATTTATTTTCTTCGTTTTTATTGCTTGCAATTGAGAGCCTACGTGTAAAATTGAAAGTTGTCAAAAATTGTGGGCGAAGTCTCATATATAGAAAATGTAAACTAAAGTTCTACAACATTCCTACCCTCTCACGCGTCCTTTATATTTGCCAAGTTACTCAAGGCCAACTTGATAAGTTGACCACTTGCAGACGCCAGAAGTATAGTATGTTCCTTGCTTTACACAGCAAGTCTGGTAATAAGATTAGCATAAGTCAAGGTTGTGAGCACCCTGTTCACATAGAATTATAAGAATAGCCACTTACACTGGTATTTTGGAAACCTTTATTTGAATATCTAAACCTAAATAAAGATATATTGATATTCTAAGTTATTAAAAGGCTGCTTTGTTTGTTTCCGGAAATTCCCGTAAAGCTTCTAAAGAGTTATCTGCGCCAATCGTTCCTAGAAGGAAATAGTTAGTCTACACCACCCACCGCCAAATCTTGGGCTACTCTTGTCAAACCGAATAGTGAAATTTGACTGTCACCCTTTTAACGTACCCACGGCCCCATCGTCCGGCTCGCTAGCTATTAGATCACGCTCGGCCCTAAAAGGGTAACGACCATAAACTATTTGTATACTATAGTTTCAACTTTTTATTGATTTTGTAAAAATAAACTAAGAGAATTTTAAGTGATGATATAATGCATCAGTGGAAGGCGTTTGACAGATTCTTGCACACAATCGTACACAGGGCGCTTGCACCAATTAGTCAACACTCTATCCAGCGATCAGTTGTTA